TTGCTCGTCATGATCTGGTACAATTGTCATCGTGTATTGGATGTTTATTTTTATTTTTTGGGCAAACCAGAGAAGTGGGTTTTATATGTGCCAACTGCTACACGAAGTAACGATGGAATATCCAGAAGGAAAAAAAAACAAATCTCGCATTACAAAATGTGCAATATTATCCACTTACAGTTCCTGTGGTGGCAACATCCCCCCACCCCCATACCTGCTGTATTCAAACAAAATCAATTCCCCCTCTGTAAATGTTAGCTGGATGTCCCCATTAAAAGAGGTAGTTGCATTTCAGTGACTCTTTCAAGCATAAATCAAAAATTTTTGAAACACAAACAGACCTAAACCATATGTTTAAAAAAACTACCTTTTTAATAAAAGTCATGTTTCATGCAAGCTAAAATAAGGCCTTTGTATAGGTTTAATAATACCATGATAAAAAAAAACTAACTAAAGTTCAGTTCTAGTGAAGTTTTGCCATGAATTAGAGAATCATTTCAGAGCCGTCTTTCAACCTGACCACCCCTTTTGTGGTTGTAATGTGATACAGAGTAGATTTTTTTTCATGCAACATGCACAATATGGATCATCCTGGTCCTGTGCGTTTTTAAGGGTCAGACAGTCATGTAAGGCACAGCGCTCGGCCGCCCTCATTAATAATGAAGCAGCAGGAAACCATTTTCCACGGTACGCTCTCAAGGCCTTCTCAGAGATGGGCTTCATTAATATTTGACGGCCAAGAAATGGAGAGAAGTGAGTCTCATAGGCAGCTGTGTGAGTCTGAGTAAACTGGTAAATTTTTAATTAGCCAAAGCCTTCTTCCACATTAACTCATTTCACGAAAAAAATGTGATTTTTTTTCTAACCTATATCTGAACAAACAACACAAAATTAGTATGTTTACGGAGAAGGCATGGAGATGCATTGAAGTGATGCGATTTTCAATGTGCATAACATAAAAGACACGAAACGTCCACTGATAACGATTGAAATATGACATTCTTGACCTGCTCCATGGGTGTGTGACATTTGTATAATGCATCGCTCCATGCAACCTGCACTCGCATTGCTTCACCCATCAGATTGCAACAAATTCAGCCGTTATGAATATCCATATCAGTCTCTGCTCCTAATTGCTGGCCAGTGGGTCTTCTTCAGAGCACTCAATCTCTAACAACTACCTGCAATGTCAGGCGGTTTCATCGCATGACCCGCGGTGCTCCGCACAAAGTTGGTGAGTTTCCCAACAGACACTCGAGATAGGTTTTTGTTTTTCCTCGCTGAAGTACATTTTGTTTCGCGGAAAGAAAAAAAACTGTGCAGCAAACGCTCAGCTACATGGAACTTGAACAAAAAAAGGAAAAATTGTTCAGCCTTTATAAACGTCATAAACTGGTAAATCTCACGGAATTTTGAAGACCGATTGGTTCGTTTCGCAGCCGATGATGTGCAGTGACGTCGAACTTTGCGCGGAAGCAGCTGATTTAACATCTTGACGGGCCCGGCCCCAGGAACTTGCAGTTCTACATTCACGCTCGATCATTTCAATGTATATGCAGTCTGCCCATGTAATTTGACTTTTCTAAAGGTTAATTTGATTAATTAGCAGCATCTCCTAAGAGAAACCTGCTCATGACAACAAGAAAACAAGTGTTCATTCGTAAACGTTTTTAAAACGTGCCAAGTTTTGATGGAGCACCATCGTTTTAAGTGAAATATCCAGCGAGACAGTCAGCCCTTCTATGAATAAAGGACCATTGCCCCAACTTTCAACCGAACATGCATTCGTTTTGATGAGAGAGCGTTCATGAAGAACGCGGTGAATTGTTCAAACGAGAGAGGCCTCGTTGGGGTTTGCGGACGGATGTTGTTGCGCCGTTATTTGCAAATTCCTCGCCCATCGCCACCGTTCCAACAACAAATACAAAGATCCCCCGTATAGCCTTAACATACTCTTGGGGCAAGTGCTGTTAGCGAGTAGCACCTCTGAAGGGCGGCAACGGCACATGAAGGGGTGGGTGACCAACAACTACGTCCGGCCGCCTTTGTCTCCCCGGTGGCGATGTTTACACACCGCGCCAGGTACTCATTTGAGGTCAAGTCAACCTAGGGGAGTCCCAGGACCGGTGAAATTAATCGCCACTGATTCTAGTTTTGAAGCTTTCGTGACTGCGAGGATTAATATTCTTAGGTTTTTTCGGTAAAGTCACGTAGGTAAAAAAATATTTAAATTCATAAAAGTTAAATAAAAATAAAATAAAAATCACGACGTTTTGGAGGCAACACAAACTTCCGTCTTCAGGTGGAACCGTCACAGCACGATAGCTGTATCAAGTGATACAGCTATCGTGCTGTGACGATTTTTCTTTTCTTTTACTTTTAATATTATTTTTTTACCTACGTGACTTTACCGAAAAAACCTAAGAATATAATCTCCACTGGTTGGTGGCCATGAGCGGGAATGGAACCCTGGTGGCCGGATTTCGTGGCGCGGCGCGCCAACCTTCCACGCCACTCCGCAGCATTGCCCCCCTGCTGATGCTGCTGCTCTTCCCACGGCGCTCTGCGTGCGGTGCTGGCTGTCCCCCACGCTCGCACGTGGAGGCAGCCAACGCAGCACAGAGGTCGCAACCGGGTTACCCGATACCCGGCTACCCGTAGCAGGCCAGGTACGGGTATGGGTACCCGTTTGCGACCCTGGTGCTGCCGGGTACGGGTAGGCCGTGAGTCACTGGTGAGTCACCGTTTGTCACTTATTTCGGGTAGGGTACGGGTAGGGAACGGGTACCCGTACCCGTTTTGCGACCCTGATGCGGCCGGGTACGGGTACGGGTAAGGAATCAAAACCCGTTTGCGACCTCTGATCTGACGCAGCAGCAGCAGCAGCAGCGAGCACGAGGCCGCGCCGTCGCCCCTGCTCGGCGCCAGTGGCGTGCGGCTCGCTCGCGGCCACGTGGGCTCGCTCACCCCGCATTGCTCGCGACTGTTATTCATCCTTCATCTATTCCTCCTGCATCGTCAGCAACAAGTGGAGTGACTTTAAATTTCCATTTAAAGCTTTCGTGACTGCAGGGGTTCATCTTCTTGGTTCTTTCGGGAAAGTCACGTAGAATGGAAATAATAAAATAATAAAAATATTACATAATAAAATAATATATGTGACTTTCGTAGGAAGTGCCATTGTTTACGGTTTAAATGTTCTCCGTGAGCATCACCTATCAACAGCGCCTCGATGCGTCTCTCCACTGCTGGGTGATGCAGATATCCGTCGGGATTCGGCGCGCGAGCCGATTTACTTGCTCCATCTACGCGGCAGAAGATCTCCAAAAATTAAACCCGCAAGCTTATGATGATTATGATAATGATTAGTGCCAATAATAATACCAGTATGGATTAGGTAAACGAAAAAAGTTAATCTTATAAAAATATTTAAAAAAGTATAACCCCAGAGGAATATTCGACTGAGTTGACCTAAACCAGGATTTGAATTACCAACTTTCGAAATGTACATCAAATACTGTCCCATGGCACCACTCAGCCAAGCTGTACGCTTTTGCACGAATCACGTTGACGGTAATAGTTACAGTCTTGCATGGAGTGCATCTGGAATGTTTCTGATGTTGTTCTTTACAAGCCCCAAATGTCTGCGTGCAGTCAAGACAAGCTGCTGCATCTCGGCCACAGTGGCCGCTGTGAAAAAAATAAAAATGCGACCGTTGGTTTTGGCACTCGGCCACCTCACACCACTCGAACCACACTGACGCTCAATCACTTTATTACGCGTCAGCCACCACAGAACCCATAGGCGTTAAAACACTTCATAAATCACGCGCACAAAAGAACCCAGTGGTGCCACTATCCCAACACGCATCGCACACCGCAGGACCCATCGCTGCTAAACCGCTTCATACATCTGCCGTAACACCGCAGGGAGCACTGGAGCGCACCGCATTACGGAGCAATGAGCGCACTATTAAGTCACGTCTCACGCCAATGATCATCGGCAATTCCTCGCACTTGACCTCGTGATGCCTTCCCCTTCACTCTGTGACTCATCACATGAGTCACAGTCTCTGCACTCTCCACTGCTCGCGCCTTACAACCCACGCACGTGTTGTCAAAAAGTTATCGAGTCTCATTGTAAACGTTTGTGTTGTAGAACACCTGATTCACAGGACCGAGGCCACGCACATTACAGCGAAGCCCGTGTTTGTGCCATGCATTTGTCTCTGTGCGTATTCGTGTGGGGGGCGGTTGGTTGTACTGTGGTTCACACGCTGCGCGAGGAGATCAGTAACAACGTCAGTTCAGTTCTCGAGCGTGGCAACAATCTTTGTCCTCGGCCTCCCCTAGGCCGACTTCACCTGTGCAGCGTGTGAACATCAGCACTGGGGGAGACAAAAATTTCCGGGCGCGGTGTTCACCGCACCACAATCCCCTTGTGTGCCATGCCCGCACCTAATAGGCGCTTGCTAACAGCATTTGCCTCTGTGGTCTATACAGTGATACAGGGCAACTTTGTCTTTTCTGCATGTTAACTTGTGAATATGAATCAGTGGTGTATCTGGTGGCGCTCTTGGCTGCATCTCAGCATTTCATTACTTGTCTGATGTTCGCTGCTCTGTCATTGCCCACTCGCATTCCCCGCCTCTGCTTCGCGCCACACGCAGTCCTCACCGCGCCAGCCTTTTCTATGATGCCAAAACACACCTGGGTCTTCACAAGTCAAATTCTGGGTTAGGGTTGCCACCTCTCAGGTTCCAAAAGCAGGACATGTTATCGGATATTTCACAATCCCAGAAGAGGGGATAACTACCTACATGCGACCGACAAACACTGACTTCATGTTTAATGTCCAGTGAAGACTTACAGATTTCCCAGGAAAGCTACCTCCAACGAGAGGATGATCGTGGGGAAAACCAGGACAGGTGGCAAACTTATTCGGACGATCGTCGGTCAACGTGAATCCGAACACCTTGCGCCGTTCGTGGGATGCGCAGGTGGGCGGCCACACGATGCTGCCCATCCGCTGGATGCCCCCAGAGAGCATCATGTACCGCAAGTTCACGGCGGACAGCGACGTGTGGAGCCTGGGCGTCGTGCTGTGGGAGATCTTCACCTACGGCAAGCAGCCCTGGTACCAGCTCTCCAACACGGAGGTGAGCTCGCCGGCCGACCGGCCTGCGCGTATCTGCGCCACTGTAACATTCCCACAACCTTTCGTGACTGCAGGGATTCATCTTCTTGGTTCTTTCGGTGAAGTCACGTAGAAGGGAAATAATAAAATAATAAAAATAAAACATAATCAAATCATTCTCACGACGTTTCGGCCACAACGCAAGCAGCCGAAACGTCGCGAGAATTATTTTATTATTTTTTTTATTATTTTATTATTTCCCTTCTACGTGACTTTACCGAAAGAACCAAGAAGACTTCCCACAACCGTCACCACTCTCGCAGCAAATTCGTCTCTGCGGTCACTCTTGCAAATGGGACTGTCCCACCGCGCCATGCAGGCCGTGGCGGTTCTTTGATCCTACTTCACCAATGCTGGTCGTTACTGGATGTCGAAGGCATGGAGTATAGACGTGGGAGCATAGAAGTACAGTACAACGATGGATTTTATTGCATTTTAGTCCTGCGGCAGCCTGACACGTAATTTTGTATGCATGGTGGTCGCCCATCCAAACACTATGCGTGCTCAAGCTGGCTTAGCCTCTGAGATCGGACGCATTACAGGTGATTTGGTCATCAGCACTATTATAAAAATAACGATTAAGCAAACATGTTGTTGGAACATACTGTATGTGTGTTATATTCTTTGGGTCTTTCGGTCAAGCCACGTAGATATAAAAATAATAAAAAATAATCACGTTTATTTTTTTGTACGTAATGGCTCTTTAAATGTTGGGTTGAAATATTGCAAAAAGTTTGCTCTAACTGAAGGTAATTTGTCGCAACTTCCCTCAGTTTAATTTCCAGTTACTTTCCGAGGTGATCATTTCCATTTCAAGTAAACATGACTCGTTTAAAATACAAAATAGTTTTCATATTGGACACGTGGGAATACAGCTATAACAAACACACAACACTAGAGTATAGTTAAACTGATTATGCGTGAATTAGTTTATCCGGGGCCAGCAAAACCCGGTTCTCTCTTCCAAATATTTGGGGGATGTGGCCATAAATGTATCCGAGGTCCAGACCACGGTTAACGGAGGTTATTTGGCAAATAATTCCAAATATCCGTCGTTATCCAGAGTAAAGTGGGTGAACACCAAATCAAGTCAGGGTGCAAATGTCGATGCGGTGCTTTCTGCACTGCATTGTTGAAGTGTTAGCCCTGGGGCGTCTCTCCGAACACAAAAGCAAGCAAGCCCCCTTCCCATACCTACCCATCTCATGGTAGGCGATACCCCGTAGGTCTGGTGCCTGAGGGGCAAGCGCCTGATGATGATGGCGACCTCCTCCCGTGATTGTAAATCTTCGTCACAGAAAGCCCTCGAGGTGTCCCCACGCCTTTGCCTGCTGGTCCATGCCCCATTCAGTGACGTTTTGTCACGTGTCACGCGTAGGCAGGGCTCTTCCAAATATCCAGGGTCAGGGGCCACGGAATGAACAGAGATATTCGGCAATTTTTTCCAATTATCCAGTTGGGACTCCAGATATTTGGAACCGGAGCTCCTGTCTCCCATGTTTATCCTGGATAAACGGAGTTTGACTGTAATTTACAGGCCTTTTTTAATCTACTGCTGGGTGAAGGCCTCCCCTCACCATGCAGGTCGCGGCAGTTTCATGACCCTATGCGACCACGTTCGTCAGTGCGGGTTAGTTCAGATATTTCTCGCCACTATTATTAGCTGCGGTCAGGAATTGAACTCAAGTGGCTAGATGTGTAGTGCAATGTGCTCACCATTGATTGAACAACAACAAAAAATAATAACATTCTTAAAAAAAATTATTGTTTCATCACCCTGAAGGTGGCTGGGTGGCTCAAAGGTCAGAATACCAATCCAGGATCACTAAGGGCCTGGAGCAAATCTGGGCAACTCCCCACAATTAAACTGGGTTCTCAAGTGTAGTGAGTGGACGGAGTATCAACCTGGTTACCACTGACTTCACAAAAAGTAAAACTGCATAAAATTGCTTTTCACTTAATTTGGCTTATCCCTGCTCTGAGGCTTAAAAACATCTGTTTAATCCACACGTGACACTCTGCAAGACATTAAAAGGTGTGTCTCTCGTGTGAATAAAGAGGTCTAATGAAGGGGCTACACAAGTACAGAAGTCCATTGATGTCATCATCCAAAGCCATTCCCTGACAGGATGATGCTCTGCTCAAAATGGAAATTACTTCATCGTATGACGTGGCACCATCGCACGATTGGAATAACATTGGTCAAAATATATATTTCTTAGATAAAAAAAGACCACCTCGAATATGATCAGAATACATATATAAAACATACTTAATTTTCAGTTAATGACCATTCTTATCTGAAATGTCAACCTGGTATAATTTCCTTTGACAAAGTGGTGTCGATGATATATGCGATACAATATTTCGAAATATATTCTTACATTTTCTAAACTACGCAATGTATTCGCAACTTGGTTATTTTACACGTATACCGTCACAGTATTGTGTTGCACAATCAAGCACGTGTCAGGTTTAATCTCAACGTTAATAGTGCTGGAAATTCCACTTCCGCTGGCAGGGGTGAATTTATAAACAGGACAACAACTGTTAACGTCCCACATACCTATTGTATGAACTCCAGATGAAAGAAAGGCCGAATGGACTGCTGCCACAACCATCATTCTTTCCTCATTATTGTCATAACACCTTCATTACGGTGCTAAATTAGCCATTGGCTATGTTGTCGGCAGCAAAGGGCAGTGGCAGTAACATCCATTGTATGTATATGTATGTATGTTGAACTCACTGCGACTTAAACCAATGTTTTTTCAGGAGGGGGTGTGTTACAATGTTTGGCCAAATCCCTAAATGAATCTTTGGCAGTATAGTTAGTTCTGCATTCAGACTACATTATAGTATAGAGTACATACAATGTGAAACATTGTGCATTGTGACGAGTTTTGTAATTACCCATACGGACGTGTTTACATAACACACACACGACTACCCTGCCATAATGCTGTTATAATATAATGTTCTATACATGCGGATGTATGCTGAACTTCTTTCGCACCGTACATAGCCAACCAAGTTAATCGGAGGTGCGGGGGAAGGACACAACACTAAACACAAAAAGCAGTTCGAAAGAATAAAGCAATGCTGTTGCCCGCCTTCACCAGCCCGTACTGACCAGCGTAGGTGAAGTATGGTCAAATAACCCCCCATGACCACAGAAAGTGATAAAACCCTCATCCAGCAGTGAATAGTCAAAAGGGCTGTACAAGCACAGCGCCTTCATTGCCACGATTATAATCATCAGCATCTATGTCGTTATCATCATCGTCATCATCGTCATCGGCAATCTGGACCAGAGCGCCTAATGGAACTCAGGCCAGGTGGCCACGGTCTTAGATTCGTCCCATGGGAGACAGACACGGCCGTTAAAAGGTGATAATTGTTCTTGTGTACGCCACGAACAAATTACAAAATAACAACTCTTCAAAAATTAATTGCAGAGACTTTAATTGTGCTAATCCATCCGAGATGTCCCTGGCAGATCCCCCCCCCCTTCAAGCAGCTTCAGCAGCCAGCAATATGTGACAGCGATTTACCGCGGGGCCACCTGGCACCCTCCAGCCCGCCACTGGTGTCAGCTGTGGCCGGAATTAGAGCTCAGGTCGCCGAGTTCATCCCGCAGCGCGCAAGCCACCGCGCCCGCGGCTCCACTCCGTATTGTCATGGGACACATTTATATAACCAGAAGCCGAGAGCTATAAACTACAATTTTTAAATATGTACAGTAGGGAGGAAGTTTTTGTTGTTGCTGTTGCTTGTTGTCTTTCCCCCGAACCTCCGATTAGCACGGTTGGCTACGTACGGTGCGAACGAAATTCAACTTACAATTTAAAGCTGAGAACACGTCATTTTCCAACACAAACAGACAACACAACAATGCAGGACACGGCCAAAGTAGAGTGCAGCCAGCACACACGTGGAAAACGTAACGTCGCCTTGGCCGTATTAGTCATGCTCTGATGGGTGTGCCCGCCCTTAGCCAAAGTTTCACTTAAAGCTTTCAAAATGGCACAATTAAGCGTGCAACAATATGTAGAAAGTGAGCTGCCATGGCGTAATGGATAGCAGCACACTGCATACTCCTAGGTTTTTTCGGTAAAGTCACGTAGGTAAATCATGTATCATTGATACAGCGAATCTAGCTGTGACGGTCCCACCTGATGACGGAGACTTGTGTTGCCTCCGAAACGTCGTGATTTATAATTTTATTTTATTTCTATTATTACTTTTAGTAATTTTTTTTTTACAATATTTTACCTACGTGACTTTACCGAAAAAAACCTAAGAGTATGAATCCTTGCAGTCACGAAAGCTTCAAATCCAGCACACTGCACTTGCAATCCAGAGCTCGGCAGTTCGATCTCATCTCCTGGCATGACAGTTGAAAAAAAACAATGGGCCGGGTTTTCTCAAATTCCCCCCACCTCTGTCCATCGCGAAGTACGCGTACACTAAAATTAGTCGATCAGTAGATTGCGTGTGGTGGGGTGAAGTGTGGGTATGCCCACCTCTTCCAATAAGTCCGGTCAACGTGGAAAAAAGTTGATCAAATAGAAAGGTTTCTCTAGTGTCGGCCCATCTGCCAGCAGTGACATAAGCAAGCAATTTGCAGGGCAGTATAATTACCTTTTTAATATGTAGCCATATGTCACCAAACAGAGTGCCATATTGGTTGATACGGCAATGAGGATATTTTAAAATGCTGCATTCTAAATGTGTGGTGGATTAAGGTTGATGGCTATGGCAGTAGAGCTGGAGGGACTCGCTTGGCAGTCGTGGGATTTTCCATCTGCATCATTCGACGAACACCCTGGATACCTTTGACCATTTGCCACCCATTAGCAAAGCGCTCCCTCGCTACTGAAGAGAGACAACTTGACAAAAGGAGACGTGATTAATATTAAAACCCCGATTATTATGCAGTCTGTTACCTGCACTGCAGGTGCATTTTTAACTCTCTCTGATCAGGATAATAGAGCACCTCCAAGGAAATGCATACGCAAAGACTTGCAATAAAGAAGGGGGACAGGGATTGCCGTTATCTCATATTGGCAAGGGTAATTGTGGTCTGACTTGTATGACTAATAACTTGATCATTAAAATTCTAGAACATCAATCAGGGACGAGACCCCTTGCCTCCCACACTCACTTACAGGGGGGAGGGGAGAGTGATTCTCACAGATGTGCTGTCGTCATTAATTGCAAGGGAATGAATGTCCAGAAATTCTGGCCAATCCCTCCATAAACCCCTGTCAAACATCACTATCCACTAATGCTGTCAAATCGTATAACACACTGGGGAGGGCTCCAATAACCACACGAGCAGCCCGAGAAGACCCTCGTACCTACTACCCACATCCATGCAGCAATGTTAATTTGTGAGGCTCAGAAAGAGATTTTAAATATATATTTCTATTAATTTAGTTTTTTTAATTCCCAATGCGTTATCCGATAACGGTCACACATATACAGTACCTGTGTGTATTTCGTTAAATCTACTCAAGTCTAGCTATGGGCATTGTAGGGGGAAAAATATTTTCCTGTGTTAAAATAAATTTGAACGTAAATTTTTTCTCCCAATAATCAGGCTTTTCGGACTCGTATCTGGTATAGCAATGTAAGAAGCGGTATTTTTTCCTGCCGAGGTCACAGGAAAGAAAGGGCTCCTGGTGTAATGGATGGAATTCTTGTAGCAGTCGGTAATAATTACCGTAACCCGCGTGGGAGCACCGTACCCCGGGGGAGTGGAGCTGGGCTCTCGGTAGACATGGCAGGGCGAGTCACCTTGGTGTCCACAGACAGGTCACCCCGAGTCAGACAAAGATCCCCTGTATAATCTTTACAGATTGTTGGGGCGAATGCTGTTAGTGAGCGCACCTATGAAGGCTGGTACGGCACACGAGAGGGTGGGTGGCCAACATCACCCCCAGCCGCCTTTGTCTCTCCAGTGGCGATGTTTACACACTGCACCTTGTACTCATTTGAGGCTGAGTCAAGCTAGGGGATGCCTATGACCGGTTCAGATAATCGTCACTGGTGATGGCCTTTGAGCGGGAATTGAATTCGGGTTGTCGCGCAACGCACTAAGCGCTACACCACCACGCCTGCCGAGTCACACGCACGGACACACAACGCTGGACCGTATTAACTGTGCACATTGGAGAGTTCATTCGCCAACACGTGCGGCCGATATGATATGCAGCTCTACAGTAAATATGACATGGAATGCATTGGTTTGGGATCATGAAGCAGCACTACGGAAACACAATCACGCGCAGCTATTCATCAATGTTATCGTTATGCAATGGAGCCGACATTGGTTTTGTTGGGTTGTTGTGTGCATGAGGCTTATGTAATAATTTTAAAGTTACATACAATCCAATGTTATTGCTAAGGTTTACATTGCACCACCTATTTATGAAAACGTGTAGCCCTGCACATGCCTTCAAATGCAGTGCACGTGATATCTAGTTTTTTTTGCAACATAATTTGAGCCGCATATGAATAGCATTTGAGTCAGCAATAAATTAAGAAGAAAACAAAGCACATGCAAAAGTCATTCCCTGTCCAAATTTCCAATGCCATGCGCCCATTGGCTGACACCTCGCTGACGGGATTCCACCTCGGGATTTCGTTCGCCCCTTGGTGGCCCGTGCATCGTTCGCCACCACCTGCTTATGCACCGCTCACTGCCCGCACGCTCTGCACGGACTGCGCCTCGCGCAGCCTCTCTGCCAGTCCGCTGCTGGATGAGGGCCACCCCACGGCCGCCTGAGTCGTTGGGGGGTTTTCACCAGTGCTTCACCACACTTCATCGCGGCCGGTTGGTGAAGGTGGGGAGCGTAGACATCAGAGCACAGTAGAGTACAACAGTGGAGTTTGCTGCACTGCCATCTGCTGACATCCTAGCCCTGCAGCAGCCAACAGCACCTGTTTCACGCATAGCGGTTGCCCATCCGAGAACTATCCAGGCTCAAGTTTGCTGAGCTGTCAAATTCAGGATAGAATCAGGCAGATTACAGGTGATTTGGTCATAGCCTATTGGTGTGTGTGTGTAGTGAGTGGAAGTGTGTTGGTTAGCGCGCTTGCACTACGAATCCAGCGACCCGGGTTCGATTCCCGCTTATGGCCGACATCAGTGGCGACTTTCTGAACGGGTCATGGACCTCCCCTAGGTCGACTCAGCCTCAAATGAGTGCCTGGTGCAGTGTGTAAATATTGCCACTCGGGAGACAAATGTGGCCGGGTGTTGTGTTGGCCACCCACCCCCTCGTGTGCCGTGCCGGCCTTCATAGGTGCTCGCTAACAGCACTTGTCCCAAAAGTATGTTGAGGCTACATGGCAGTCTTCGTCTTATTTGTCCTGAGCTATTTAAGCCTTGGAAAATCAGCTGTTACTGGTCCAGTAGTTCGACCACAACATCTAGAATTTGGGCTTCCTTAATCCATCAGCAAAAGTGCCGGCTTCTCTTAAAACGACCGACAGAGTGATGGTAACCAGACCCTGGGTCCTCTTGATGCATTTGCAGGAGTCTAAAAACTCCACATGGTGCAGGGGAATTCATGCCAAGGCGACGCGGAGGAAAAACGGTAGCCAAATGTCATAAATAATGAAGCTGCCTCATCTCTGTTTGACACTTTACACTGAATTGGCTCCACATGCTTTTAGAGCATCAGAGCTTTTGTCAAGATGCCCTGCGCTGGGTATTCTTTACGCTGCCTTATTGCTTATCATGGAGATGTCATGACGTCATGTAAACACAATAACCTGAGATGCAAAAGGGAAACTAAATGTTTTGACCGGTACAGAATGCGTTCATTGGCAGGGAGATTTTTCTAGACGGAATAATGGTCGTAATTTACAGCGCTTTTTCAAACCACTGCTGGATAACAGCTTCCCAATTCTTTTCGGTCGTAGGTATGTTTGACCATACTTCACCATGCTAGTCAATGCGGGTCGGGTGAGACCAGGACAGGCTCAGATCTCACTCGCTACGTATGTTAGCCGCCATAGTGTGCTAACCACTGCACCGCTGCATTGCCCATGAGTTTACATACAGCTTCTTGATATTTTAAATATGCGTGTGAAAAAACTGTGCCTTAATTGGCAATCACGTTTGCATTAAATAGCAATATACCCAGTTATTAGAGTAACTGCATGATACATTTGATATGCTCATTAGTCCATATTGGTCCAGCAAGGCATATTACTTCATGATCTCGCATTCAAGTTGTTACAATAGCTCCATTTTAGCTGTAATCAAACACAATTGTGCACAGCCCTAAGACTCTTACACCAACAACACTTCATGAAAAATCACTTTTAATGCTGCCAATACCTGGAAAAGAAGCATTTTTTCAATATCTGCTGTCGTTGCCATTACATATTGTGCAGTGACGGAGAGAATCCATAAAATCTCCGAAATTGTAGACAAAAATGGCACAGGTCTTTTGATTAAGACTGAAAGCTTGGAGCAACGATTGCAGCGTGTCCGTATTGCTGAGCGAGCCATCCCCGTCAAGCCCACCCTGGGCCTCTGACCCGCTTGCATCAGGCCTGTCTAATCCAGCCTTTCCGATGCTCGGATCAATGGGGCTGATTCAGCGTTTGATCAGCGTTCCAGGTGACACCCGAAGGCAGAGGGCAGCTTCGCAGACAGCCGTCTCATCGCCAACTGGAAAATGAAGGGGCTAGTCAAGAGAACGTACGCACTGAGCTACTGTCATCGTCAAAGGGCAAAAATGGAAAAGGCGCAGCTCTGTAATTTCTGGCCCACGCCTCCGTTGGAAGAAGGGCCTCTGCTAGAGGGTGGAGAGCTCCTCTACGAGGTTTTTTTGGCCTACTCTTCCACGCTGTTCAAATGTCTTGGTCGAAATTGTTCGAGTATTGCATTGCAATTATTGTAATGTGTCGTGTGCGGTGGGATACGTTTGTAATGGAGTGACCTGAAGGTGGCTTTGTGGTTAACATAACAAAACACATCAAAGCCTCTGCCCCTGCTGGTCAAGGCAGTGGCCACTGGTCGAGTCAAAACGAGTTTGGATAAATCACGCAAACGCGTTTGTGCTTGGAAGTATTTCATCTACGGCATGGAATCTGATGGCGAGCTGGCAGGGAAAAAAATTCGTGCTTTTGTATTTGAAAATACAACAGTTCTTTTTACTCTGATTTGCGTATCCAAGGTTTTGTCAACACCTTCATCAAGTTGGCCGGTTTTCAATCGGGTATATCTCTAACAGAGACACAACCTTCTAAAAATGCATTCGTATTGGATCACAATTATGTATGTATGGTGAACTTCTTTCACACCGTACGTAGCCAACCGCGCTAATCGAGGATGCAGGAGGACAACAAAATAAACACAAAAAGCAGTTCTAAAGAAACTCGTTATCAAATTACAAGAATTTGGGTCCTCCCGCTCCCCATCCTGCGGACGTACAGAGATAACGCCTAAAAGTTTTCTCACTTCGTCAATTTTAATTAGTTTCATCAGATGAGAGCTCAAGAGACCAGGATAGTCTCATGTATTGTATGTTGAACTTCTTTCGCACCGTACGTAGCCAACTGTGCTAATCGGAGGTGCGCTGTGCTGTGCGCGCATCTCTCCCCGCGCGCCACACAGGTCATCGACTGCATCTGCCAGGGCCGCGTTCTGGAGCGGCCACGCAGCTGTCCCATGGAGGTGTACGAGCTGATGTTGGGTTGTTGGCACCGGGAGCCCCAGCACCGCCTGGGCATCAAGGACATCTTGGCTCGTCTCGAGAGCTTGGCCAAGATGTCCCCCGTTTATCTCGATATCTTGGGGTGACCAGTGCCCTCTCGCCTTCGCTTCGCAATGTGTTTTTTTGTATTTATTGGTGGGGGGGAGGGGTGTGTTTGTTTCTTTTTTAAAATGGGTTCCCTCTGTTGATTGTGAAGGGATGTAAAGTCTGTTGTTGTGCGGAATCGGTAATCACATTCGTCGTGTCCAGGGTGAGAGAGTAAGATAATTAGAATTGAATGTGGTAAAAGAAAGTACATATTACGATCATCTTACACGTAACCCTAAAATGTACTTCCCAAAAAGGGGAACGGGCTTCTTGGGAGAAGCTATGAATGGTCACACGTTGAGGCACGATGCATGAGATATTAATGCTGTCATCACATTTCAAATTCCCCTCTTTTTAAAAAATCTTAAAAATGTTCAAGTAAATTACAGTTCCATGATTTTCACGAGCCTTATATGACTTTCTTTAAAAGGTTTGGTATTTGCTCCAATGTTACGTTAGAGCAAATTACCTTTGCTGCACGCAGTGTTTCAGATTTAATTTCAAATTTAATTTTCCATAGCAGGCACCACACTGCGCGGAACTTGACAGCGTGAATTCTCTTTGCAAGCCTCTCTGCTCAAACTTGCTGCCGTCAGTATTTAAGCAGTCACTGTTTGTCGACAGTGACCATCCTCGATGGTAAATTACTTCGCCAGAGTTTGGACCATCAGGCTTAATTTCCTGCATACATTATCTACATCGGTGCAAAAGGTCATTGTCATCGAACTTTGAGCATTGTTAGATCTTCACCCATCATTTCAAGAGTTTCATCAGAACAACTAATTTGAGGCGAGCAAATGATCAAACTAGGTGTGTTAGGGTGGGTGTGGGATGGCAAACTTCATTTTCAGATTGGACATATCGATATGAATGCACATAAGATAACAAAAAATATCCTCGTGTATATTTGTTAAGAGACAAGTTATGCGTTAAGAATATCAGTGTCATCACACATAATCAGTCCGATTCTCTTGGGCATCGTCATCATCATCGTCGTCGTCATCATCCATGAGCATCTAAAGTCGATACAAAAAAACCTCTCCCGGGTGACTTCGTTCACCAAGCGGGAACGGCGAAGCATTCGTAGAGATGTTCTACAAAGCAAGCGGCTGCCCCCTCGGTCATGGTCGAGCGTGGGGGAGGCCCTCGCTCCCCGTGCCACCCTCGTGACAAACACGAGAACCCCGTTTAGCGTGCGCGCCAGCCAGCCAGCCAGCCAAATCGACTGCACCTCGCTCGCCGATGCATACAGATCAATGGGCGGCGGTGGAGGGGGGGATGCGGTGGTGGGAGGATGGCAAGCCCTGCATATATTTATCGATTGGTTTTATTTCGTAGAAGAGTGCGCTTTGGCACCGCGTCGCAGACTCAAATGTCGCGCGACTCTCCGCCCGCGGATCTTGGTGGGCGCGCGACGTGAGGGCTGTTCGGTTTGGGGGACGTGGGGAGGGTGGTGGTGGTGGTGGGGAGGGTGGTGGTGGTGGGGAGGGTGGTGGTGGTGGGGAGGGTGGTGGGTGGTGGTACCATCGCAAGGAGGCCGCCGGCGTGGGGCGTGGGCACGCCGGCGGCCGTGGCTTAGCTCGCCCTTTGGGTTACGGCCGTGCCAACACCGCGAGCGTTTTGAACGTGCAGGAGGAGCCCAGGGCACGCAATGAGACATCCGATATGCGAATAATATAATCAGATGTCCGCCGCATTGTGTCGCGCGGCGGAGAAGGTTCGTGTGGCCGATCACGCAGAACCTTGGGGGCTCTCAATAACCGGCTGAAGGTAACTCAATTGTGAGTACTACAAAGGACGCTCCGAGGTCCTGTCTTGTTTATCAAGCCTACAATTGTACGTCGAATGGAATATATAATGTACATCTCTACTAACTGTGTCAGTTTCCGGCGAGAAGCAAAGCGTCTTTTTGAAAGCGCTACCAGATCGCTGCAAATTACCTTAACGTCGTTGTGTCTGCCTACTAAAGCTACCGTGTATTCGGCTATTAGCGTAATGTACGATAGTCGTAGTCTTCAATTGACTCTAGCGTTATTGATAGCAGTATATGTGTTATTTAATTAATGATCAAGGCGTCTTAACTGGGTTGAAAAAAAACTATAAAAAAAAACTAAACAGTAAAAGATATACTTATCAGCTATCATAAAATATTGCACATTTCAGCATTACTAAACCAGACGTATTGCATTTAAATCGAAAGCAACATGTGAAGTGAACACAGGTTTGTACTCTATTGAGAAGATGCATGGGCTGTGTGCATTAGTGACATATGTTGGTTGCATGTAGCGGTTTCATTTACAATCACCGTCATGTTTTACATTACAGCGTTGTGCACATTTGGCGCGGTGTTCAACGGGTGAAGGGAGGAAAAGGAAATGATGAATACGTTTCGAACGGGTCCTCTGATGAATGTAACGCACAGAAGTTTTTATTTTTTTCCTGAGATCGGGTCGGTGATTGCTAAACACGGACCGCATTCCGACACATCCAAGCTCGTGAAAATTAGAAGAAGAAGAAAAAAAACACGTGACCGAAATAGTGAAAGGTAGAGGATCTGCTCAAAATGCATTGCGTGTTCGGTGTTACAGGGATGATCTGCACGGCAGTCCGACAGAAAGCTGTCATCTTACACATCAGCTGATACCAACGGCAGTCACAATGCTCTGCGGTATTGCTATAATGTCTCCGTCCACAAATACAAAGGAGACCTCACAGCGATACATTCCGCTGCTCCTAACACGGTTGTCTGGCTGAAACCACCTTAATGTGAAATTGTCGTTGTTGCTCTGCATCTACATCAGCAGCCGTACGCGCGTTGATGACGAAGAAGAATGCTCTGCTTGCAGCAGCGATATCAATGCAAGGCAGATGACGAGTTGGAGCCGATCCTGTGCACCCCGCGTTGTTTTGTAACGCGTCGTGAATCCGAGCTGCCACGTGCTCCGTGCATTACCCAGCACTTGCTCATCGGTGAGAAAGTCGTATGCGGCCCGCATCCCACCGCTATTGTGTCCATGCTTACAAGAGTGCAAACTAAATCGTGAAATTGTAAATGACGAGCAATAAGAAAAAGCTCCATAAAATAAGGAATATAGCATGTTTTGGATGATTGTCGGAATAATCGTGAACGATGACCAAGTTGTTTAGCTCTTCGGTGTGTGTTCAGGTTGTACCGCGTGTTGTTCGGGTTTCATGTCCGACGTTTCGCTCCATGTACTGGTTCTTCTTCAGCATCTGCTTCAGTTCTTGAAGAATAATACTCATCATAATAATAGTAATCTAGTACATTTGGTATTTGCACCATTCTCATCGTACAAGGCTACCGCGAAGGCGTGATGTTTCACAGACGTAGTCTGCAGTAGTTTCACAGTAGGGGGCCGATGTTGCTGTGCGGAAACTCAATTGAGTAATTGAAGTGAGTAATTTTCAACTTTTGGTAAATTTGGACCAGTACGCCAAACACACTGAGACATCAGGGTTTGGATTTTTAGCGCCGACTGTAAAAGCAGATGGTGGGTATTTAACGTTTAATGCACCCGCAGTGATTACCAGGGTGGCTTGTGTGTGGGGGTTCGAACCGGGAATCCCTGCAACAAGCTGCGATCGCGCCGGGGCCAGGCCTCACCACTGCCGCCACGATGCTCTCAGCTCGCGGAGCGGAGGCGTCGGATGTCGCACCAAACCACACGCGGTGCAACCCGAGAAGGCATCGTGAGAGCTAAACGACCATAATACCCACTAGGCACTGCAGTATGACTCCGATGTTATTGATGAAGGTGATGGTGATGATGATATGTATGACAATAGCATGTATATCAAACCGCGGAAAAGGCAGAAGAGACTTACAACACGAATGTAGGCTACAAATGACAAGGACACCGATGAGAATGACAATTATGAACGGCATAGCGAGAAGAATTGTTATGAAGACATTACCATATAATTCATTTAAACTGATCCCCAGATCCTGTTACAACTTGACCCGTTTTGCCAACGACTGTTGCCACGGTTATGGAATTCTAATTATCTCCTGGCAGTTCGGTCAGTCGATTTATTTGCTAATGAGCCACTTAAAATGGTTTACGGTTTTATTTGTTTATTTATTTATAGCTCACTTTAATATATTGACATGTATAATGTATGTCGCGTTTTTGACTAAATTAAAATTAAATATTACAACAATAATCAAATTGTGATTCCGTGATGCATTTAATGAAATTATTCCAGCCCAGACGACAAGGCAAACTATGCTCCGTGCGTACACATCACACCGAGCACAATCCTCGTACTGTACATGGAAATGCTCGCACACAAAGTATGTTCTGGTAAGGAGTACTGAAATATGTAATTAGCGTGATTATTTCTGAGCGCATAATCCTTTCCATGTTCAATAGCAAGCACAATTCCAGCATCAATATTTTCCCTCGTCCGCTGGCGTATTATATTTGCTCGCGCCGGGCACATATTTATCCCGCGACGTAGTCAAAAAAACAAGCAAGCTCGTGCGCCAAAAACACTCCGCAAACCCGAACGAGTGAGATCTGCAAATTGAGAACGTCTCACGATTGGATTAAAATAAAAGATTCCGCGAAAAACCCGTCAATGTTGAGAACGCTGGACGCATACTCTTAGGTTTTTTCGGTAAAGTCACGTAGGTAAAAAATTTTAATTAATAAAAGTAAAATAAAAGAAATGAAAAAATTCACGAAGTTTCGGACGCGCCTAACAAATACACGCGCTGCGCGTGGGACAGCACAAGGAGTCGAGGTTTTGCATTGCCCACGCGCGAAGGAGCACTCCGAAGACATGGGGCAGGTGGCGTACCCTCCTGGAGCCACGTGGCCATCGACGACGCCAGGTTTAGTGACCTCCACCGTCGCATGAGCTGTGTTGGGGGGAGGGGGGGGGGAGTCTGACCAAACAGACGAATGAGGCTTCACCATACAGCTCCTCAAGATGTGCCCCGAACCCTTCCAAAGTATGTCACTTGCCAATGATTTTTTTTTACATGTTTTGTTCCTTCGCACCAGTTGCAGGGTTCAGCGCACTCCGTATTTTCCATTAAGATATTGCACTGCTCCACGGCACTGCATCACTTCCAGAATAATAGACCTGCATTTGATTATTTTGTTTTATTTTATTCCAAAACGCTGGCTTTTTATTATTATTATTTACACTCAATGTGCAAACATTTTGCATAGCTCTGTAGAGTATGATAAATTATGTAAGCGATTATCTTGGCGAAGTCATGAATTTTTGTAAAGTCATCTGTTAAAACAGGATTAAATCAATATGTCGAGAATTATAGTTAGCAATATGCATGCTTTTAATGCGACTTACAAATGATTGACAGATCCACTCGATGTCATTTCGCATTCCCAAAGATACCCAGTCAACACTAGTAAGAAGTATATACTGAATTCTACTCTGTAGTTGATATTATTGATAACCTAACAAGTTTGGGCCACAACTCCAACACACGTTGGTCTACTCTTATCAATCATGCCAGAGGGTCTTTGACATCAAATTCACAGCTGCAGGTGCCCTTCGTTAATGTACTGCAGCATTAGCAGGTATTGTAGTTTGCCTCTATCACCTTAAGTATGCCATGACACACTTTAAGCTTTTTTTTATCATAGCATCAGTACTTTATAGGACATTTTAAATCACTGCAAAAACTTTCTGGATTCCTTCAATATTCCCAATGGCACCACCTCTGATTATAACCATACACTCTTTGGTTCTTTCGGCTATTCAATGCAACTCTATAGGATAGATTTTGATTTAAAGCTTTCGTGACTACAGGGATTCATATTCTTGATTATTTCGGTAAAGTCACGTATTATTTTATTATTTCCCTTCTATAGGATAGGTTAATAATTATTAACTGAATAGCCTGTATGATATGCTTAATGTGAGAAAACGTCCACAGGTTGATAATTGTTTTCTCAGAAAAGTCAATTACGATGCGCATTGGCTTATTATTTTGTCAAATAAATGACCATGCTGCCAATGTTTTTTTTCCCATCGTATTAGGAATGAATGCGTCACCTATTAATGAACTTGCTTCAAAACCCTTCATTAGCAAATGAGATAGCTAGGAAGGTTGTTGTACTGCTTATCTGTCATCAAAATTGTAAATCATTAAACCAACAACCTTTCGTTAAACACCAATATAATGACATTCATCACACAAAGAGCGAAACGTTGACTGCATGTTCACATTATCAACAAGGGTTTGAAAGCACAGCTATGCAGTGAGTGTTTATGCTAATTATCCTCATCTGCCCGCAGTAACAATGCACTATTGTTTTACTTGGACAAAGAAACACGAAGCGTTTGACAAAAGGCAAGTCTGAAACCTATTAAACATAATGCAAGGGACGGTAAGCGATTAACTTTCATTTCCTGTTTCAAAGG